CCCCATTCCCCCCTTCCCTCCCTCACCCCCTCACACAACCATTTCAAAAACTAACAAAAGACAAAAAGTGGAAACAAACAACCATCCCCTTCACCAACTCCTCCGGAGTCCACGCCCCCCAAATCGCCGAATGGGTGACCCTCCAAATCCTCTCCGCCTCCCACAAGCAGAAACTGCTCCTGGAATGGCAGAGGAAGCATGAATGGGGTCGCGCGGCGGAACTGGGTGAGATTTGGGATGGGGTGAAGCAGAGGATTGGGATTTTGGGGTATGGGGCTATTGGGAGGCAAGGTTTGTTTGTTTTTTATTATTTTTTGGAGGGTTTGTTTTTTGGGGTTTTTTTGGGGGGGGAGTGGAGGGGAGGAGGAGAGTGGAATGGGGGGTTGGTGTGAGAGGTGATGTGGTGATGTGGTTGAGAAGGGAGGATATAGATATGGATATGAATACCTACTCTACAGAAACTAACAAACACCAGCCGCACGCATCTCCCAAGCCCTAGGAATGGACATCCTCGCCTACACAGCACACCCCCGTCCCACGCCCTCCAGCAAAAAACACACCGGCTACACCGTCCCCGGCACAGGCGACGACGAAGGTACTCTCCCCTCAGAATGGTATTCCGGCCTCTCAACCGCCTCCCTCCACACCTTCCTCTCACAATCCCTCGACATCCTCCTCATCGCCGTGCCCTTGACCCCTCAGACACACCACTTCCTCTCCGCGGCCGAATTCGCCATCCTCGCTAAGAGAAAGGCGTTCATCATCAATATCGCGCGCGGAGCGATTGTAAACCACGATGATTTGATCACCGCGTTGAAGGAGGGGAAGTTGAGGGGTGCGGCGTTGGATGTTACGGAGCCGGAACCTTTGCCGGAGGATAGTGAGTTGTGGGGGATGGAGAATGTGGTTGTTAGTCCGCATGTTAGTGGGGTGGGTAGTGCGTATTTTGAGAGGGCGTTTGGGATTTTGGATGTTAATCTAAGTAGGATTGAGGAGGGGAGGGAGTTGGTTAATTTGGTGGATCGGGGGAGGGGGTATTGAGGTTCTTATGGGGAGGGAGAGGGAGAGGAGGGATGAGTGTAATTTGTTGGATTTGGGGGTGGATGGGGGTTTTTGATGGGTTTGTTTTGGTAACTTGTCGCCGTATGTGTATGTACATATATACTTTCTATATATCTGCCAACTAACTATAGTACCAACCCCACACTTCCTCAAAACTACATATTCCCCTCCTTTCTCCCCTCTCCCTTTTTCTTATACCACCACACCCCCAAAATTTCAATTCTCAATCTCTAATACACACCCCTCCCAATCCCCTCTTTCTTCCCCTCTCTCCCCTTCCCTACACCCCCAACTTCTCAAATTCTCAAATTCTCAAATTCTCAATCTCTAACACATATCGCATCCCTCCCAATCATCTCTCTCCCCTCCTTAGTCTTCATCATCTTACCCTCCCTAGCCCCCCTCGTGAAGTTTATAAGATAAGATACTATACTACACTTCACTTTACTGTAAAGTATTGGACGGTATAGGAACACGAATGACAAAGGGAGGGATGAGGATAGGGATTGAGATAGAGATATGGAGGGGGATGGGGATAGTTAGGAATAATATGATTTGAATTTCAAGACTGGGATAATGGGATTAGGCGATGGTTTTGGGGATAGATAGGTGCCTACTTACATAGGAATATATACTAATTAAAAAGTACTATAAACTACTATTATTTATATAAAACCCTCGTTTCTGTACCTATAATTAAGTCAAGGGACTGTATATACACACATGATACGATATAGTTATTATTCCCGTCCAACAATTCAACCCTCCCTAATCCCCCAAACATGTAGCTCTAACCCCAAATCCCCATGAATAATACCAGCCCTACAGTGCTTCCATCATCCTACCTCCCAGCAGTCATCCCCAACAAACCCCACAACGCAACCATCCCCGTACTCCCCACCCGCAACACTCCCGTCTTCACCCCCGCCTCCTTCCAACAAACATACCCATCAACCACCGCCAGCCACCCCATCGAAAGCCACAAAATGTCCATGGCCGCAAAATGGTTCCCTAGATACATCCCCCAGAGCGCCAAGCCCATGGCGGAGGTCCGCGCCGACCCAACGATCATGGGGGGCCAGGCCGCCTTCGAGACCGCGATGCGCGGGGGGAAGCCTATGGTTCAGCAGGCTTTTGAGGGGTTGAAGAGGGGGAGGGTGCCGCCGATGATGATGGTTGTGGAGAGGAGGAGGATGGGGATGTGACGGGGGACGAAGGCTTCGAACATGTTTTTGCTGTTGGGGGATGGGGTTGGGACGGTGGCTTTTTATTCTTTCTTTTTTTTTGGAGAATTGAGGGATGCTGGATTCAATGGTAGGTAGGTATATTTGGATATCGGGGCTGGTTAGCAGGACGATGCCGGTTTTATATCATTGGTATGCCTGGGAAATGTTCCAACTCATAAGCCAACTGGCTAATCCAAAAGAGGCCATTCTTTCTCGACCTGCATGACCGACCTCGCTAAGATGCCTGCTCCCTATCGTGACCAACTCACAAATAAGCTAACTTCTACTTGATATCGATATACCCTTCTCTTCTAGAAACTCATATATCTTACGATGGCTATAACCTCTCAAGAGAATACATCTAAACCCTCTTCTCTAGTCTCTTAAAAACGCGCATGTCTAAAAATTTATCGTGCCTTAAGAGTAACTTGAGATATGGATTGATGTAGATTTTCGATTCCCTTAGCAGAAAGACAACTCTATCATAGGGGTCCAATTTTGTTTTGACAACAACCCAACAAGCCCTGTATGAAGAAAAGAATCAAAACAGGTGCTTGACTGACAGTATTCGCTCTGGTCATCAATCCATCTGCGAGCCTCTCCGGCTGGCTTCTTTCAAAACATGGGACTTGAATACCTATCTATTATTGGGGTTTCGCGCATATATCCTTGAGAGCCGGATTTTTCTCCATGCTCGACGAGAAGTTTTCCACAGGTGCCTGGATTAGGTTTTCAATAATGACTAGTACTCTAGCTAGAAGAGAATGCCAGAGAAAACTCGGCTTCTGTGGGAGGAATTCGTGGACAATGAAGCGAAATAATACATCCCTTCAACGGTGTGTATATACGTCTAGGGTTTTTTAAGTTTGCGATACTCACTTTATGTCTCGGTCCTTAACAATACTACTAATGAATTAGTACGGAGCAAGTCGGGCCAAGCCCCGTAGTCCGCCCTAGCGTTATTCCGACCGTTCCGACCGCTTAAATAGGCCATCGTAAATTTAGAATCCTCCGTCGAAGGGATATATCTACTCTGTATATGGTATTATACGACATTCTTTTGGGAGCTAACATTATCCTGAAATTCAAGTGTGTATGGAAACTCAAAAAAGCTAGAATATCTTGCGGTTATTACTAAGTTATATTTTAAAATAATATAAATTTATAAGGTTCTAAAGTATTTTTAATAACGTTATTATATAAAAGCTTCATAAATAGAAAGTAGGTATAACGTGGTTTATCAGCGAGTCGATCATATCACCGAGTCGATCACTTTTCCTTGGCACTACCTCCTCAAACTTCAACACACGTTTTCTTCAACTATTTACCATGGAAATTCAAACTCAAGAAGCGCGAATTACTCTAGCTATCGAGGCTATTCGGTCGTCCAAAAAACTAAGCAAACGCTCTGCGGCAAAGATCTACAATGTACCATATACGACTCTTTCCGACAGAATGGCTGGCCGAACCTACCGCCCAGATTCTCAAGCCAATTGTCATAAGTTGACTGAGTTAGAAGAGGAAGTGATTATTCGGTATATACTGGATATGGATTCCAGAGGATTTGCGCCCCGGCTCGCTGGTGTAGAAGATATGGCTAATTTTATCCTTGAATCGCGGGGGGGAAGACGCGTCGGCAAGCTCTGGGCCCATCGATTCGTACAACGACAACCAGACCTTAAGACGCGTTTTAATCGCGTTTACGACTTCCAGAGGGCCTTATGCGAAGATCCTGACGTGCTAGGCGCATGGTTCCGGCTAGTAGAGAATATGAGGGCGAAATATGGGGTTACAGACTCCGACTTCTACAACTTCGACGAGACAGGCTTTATGATGGGTGTTATTTGTCCTAGAATGGTTGTTACTCGTGCAGACCGACGTGGTAGAGGCAAGGCAGTTCAGCCAGGCAATCGGGAATGGGCTACAGCAATTGCCTGTATTAATGGGGAGGGCTGGAGTATTCCTCCATTCTTGGTAGTTCAGGGCAAGAACCATCTCTCCAACTGGTATACCGACGGCGGCCTCCCACCTAACTGGGTTATGAAACCGACAAGCAATGGTTGGACAAATAATGAAACAGGCCTGGAATGGTTAAAGCACTTTGATAAACACACTACAGCTCGTGCAAAGGGTCTGTATCGAATACTAGTTTTGGATGGGCACGAGAGTCATGAATCGGCTGAGTTCCAAGACTACTGTACGAAACACAACATTATTACTCTTGGACTACCTCCTCATTCATCCCATCTAACCCAGCCACTTGATGTTGGGTGCTATAGTGTGTTAAAACGAGCGTATGGTCGGCAGATTGAGACGTTTATCAAGGCCCATATCAACCATATTACAAAGGTTGAGTTCTTTCTAGCCTTTACAGCAGCATACAAGGAAACAATGACAGTCCTAAACTGTCAGTCTGGATTCCGCGGAGCTGGCCTAGTACCATTTAACCCGCAAGCAGTGCTTTCAAAGCTTGACGTAAGGTTACGGACTCCAACTCCCCCTCGGACGTGTAGTGCCAACTCCCTCCCCTGGGTGTCCCAGACCCCTTCCAACCCAACTGAAGCCCTTTCACAATCAACTCTTGTACGAAATCGTATAGCCTGTCATCAAGGAAGCTCGCCAACTCCACTTTTTCAAACAGTTGCTGCGTTAGCAAAGGGTACAGAGCGAATGGCACATGAGATGACCCTTTTGTCTGCTGAGGTCCGTACCCTTCGCGCTGCAAATGAAGCCCTAAGTAAACGCCGTAGGGCTAAAAAGACTCGTGTCCGCCAAGGAGGGGCACTTATAGTAGAGGATGTACAGGATATGTTAGCTCAGGAGGATGTAGATGAGCAAGTACGACGCGACATGCGTGAGGCGGGGGTTGGTTATAAGGAGGGGCAACCTTCTAGGCGGCACTGTAGGACTTGTGGAAAAGCTGGTCATAACGCGCGAACTTGTCAAGAAGTTATAGATATATCTAGTTCGTCAGATATAGAGAGCGATAATTAATTTAATATATTGTGGTTGATTTATTTAGGTGTAAAGTTCTGTGCCAAGAAAAAGTGATCGACTCGGTGATATGATCGACTCGCTGATAAACCACGTTATAAATTTTGTAAAAACTGAAGCTATTCCTAGATACCCCGCATATTTACCCCCCTATTGCCTCTTCGTGGAATGATTCCAGGACCCATTTCACGTCCCATTCTTGCTTCAAGAATGTACTTAAATCGTGGGAATGGAATGGTTTTAAAGAATGGATAGATTAGATGAGGTTAGGGGTTAAACATAGAGGTTGGGAGAGGAGTAGGGCAAAATTGTTATATAAGATATGGTTCAAATGGGCCGTAGGACGGATTTTTTATTTAAATAATAGTATCTTATAATCCAATTAATACGGTAATTATATTAAATAATTATAAATGTTATCATGAGATAATCGCTAATCCTATTTCATCTATATATTAGTAGGGCCTGAGTTTCTATAGTTCTAGGAATTTCTAATTATCTTTTTAGATAGATTTATACTAACCAAGCACCAATATAGACACGGGCCTTTAACTAATTTTCGCTTACGTTAAGCGCAAAGCTAATTCTTAGTATAAGAGTTCTCTATTTTAGATATATCTTTTTTACAGGTTACAGACAGAGTGTACTAAACGAATATAATAACAAGTGCAATAGTAATATCGATAGTTGACTTTTGTTTATTCTTAGCAAGTTCAGGAGGTTATATACAAGTACTTGAACTATATAATTTTTCCATGTAGTTTTACTTGGTGGATATATCGTGTAATATTAATGGAACTCGTAGACAGGTCGAGTGAATACTGGAATTCTCACATGTGATTTTAGATCACACCTGTATCCACGTATCCACATATACTGGAGATAGCCTCGTATCCTACAATACAACTCCCATTCTTGACCCGATTTTGACCCCATCATTATTTACTGGTGACCTACGCAGAGTTCTAGTCAGGGACCCGGATATCGAGCGTATTTTGGACGACAATGACGACAATATGCAAGTATCTGCTACCGATTTCAGCTTGTTCAAGAGGAAGTTCTTTATGTACTATCCAGACAATATCGATAGCAATTTCGATGTCGAGACTTTGATAGACAAGGATTACACCCCTCAGCCTGTTCCTGTCGAAACCACTGAATCCGTACAATTGTTAGTTTTTGAACCTGTCGAATCTACTGCTACCGAATTTCCTGTTCAACAGACCGATCAGCCATGCCCTATGGAATCTACACCTATTTGTGCTGTTTCTGCTGAATGGCCTGTTTCTGTTGAAGCGCCTGAATCTGCACCTCCTGGATCACCTCAATTGTCAGCTTGCGAATCCCCACCTGACGAGTCTCCTGTTCAACAGATCGATCAGCCATGCCCCATAGAGTGTACACCTATTTGTGCTTCCGAATCACCTCGATTGCCAGCTTGCGAATCCCTACCTGCCAAGTCTCCTGTACCTACCGAGTCCCCTCGATCACTTGAATCAACTGTTGCTACTGCTCTGTTTTGTACGCTATTCTCAAATCGGCATGTGCCTATTGGAATGGAATTGCTTGCTCTTGTTTCTAAGGGGGGAGGGGGATAAATCAGATGACGATATTTCGGCATATCGATATTGGAGGCACTTTTCGACGAATCCGTGGGATATTAGGTAAATGGATAGATTGGACATAAAAATGGCGTATTGGATGATATCCTTGATATCTGGATATTAGACGATATTATATCCACTTTTCTTATTAAAATTAGGGACTTTTACGATACTCCTGGAGTAGATTAGTGGACTTCTCCTTAACGGTCAGTCCATAAGGATATCTTCAGACTAGATTCTCATAGCATGGGTTAATGGATTTCTTATTTGTATAGCATTATAGTACCCCATAGGAATGATCTGGCCCTTTGGGAGGGACGAGTGAATACAGGAATTCTCACATGTAATTTTGGATCACCCCTGTATCCACTCATCCACATATACTGTAGATAGCCTCATCTCCTATAATACATATCCTATTTTTGGCCTACATCTGACTCCATCATTATTTACTGGTAGGTTCTATCTAACCTACTTAATCAGACCAGCACCAAATGTTTCTGTTTATACTATAGCACCCAAGGCTCTAGTCTAATACACTAGCCAATGTCATAGTTAGATACACCTCACTTCCCTAAACTGTTAAGGACAAAACAGGAGACTATTAGAATAAGCTGTGTGAAAAGTGGATAGATAAAAAGAAGCTAGCTAAGGGGAAATGGAGTACTCAAATATAGGAGCTCTCCTGTACTATAGATCCTTCCTGAATAAGGCTAGCGTCTTCCTGACATGACTAGCGTGGCTCATATGAATCCATGTGGAAAGTACAGGGAGAGTCTCGCTAAAGCAAGAAAGGGGGTAAACTCCAGCACGTTCTGTAACATAACCTGTCCCTGCTCTGCCTTTGAGCCAAGCCTATAAGCTGGCTAAATTTCATTTGATATCAATTATAATACTATAAGCAGAACGATCAGGGGACACAATATAAGACAGACCCTGGGGGCACATTAGCGGAATTCAAGGGGAAGCACTATAGACGGGAAGCGTGGTAAGGGCCATACACAGAACCGACAGATCTAGGAGTAGATATATATATATAACAAAGATGCGAATGACTTGGGATTTGGGCTTTATACCCTCTATACATACATTTCTAGAATCGAATCTTCAAACGAATATGCGAAGAGAGTTTGCATTATTGCATACACTTTTGCACTTGTCGAAATATGCTTCCACCTTAGATACATACACTTCGCATAACAAATACACCATGTAAGCCAAGTATATACATGTACTTTACATTTCACATGCGTTTTGAAATTGTTCGAGCTTGGTATGTATACCTTAGGTAACATTTAGATTTTGAGAGTTGTGGTCTCGTTCGAATTATTAATCTCGGGGTTCGTGCTTGAAGTGCGGGCATAGGTTGTTTTCTATATATTAAGGCATTATCGCAAAACGGAACACAAGAAAAAACTAGATTTAGTCTGTGTAGTAAGTAATTGATACATTCTGCAATAGACATTAGAACGGATTTAATGAGGATTATAGATGGGCGGTCAATTGCTAGACCAGCTCGGTGTAACTAGACCCTGTATATAAGATTAACTTCACCCTTTAATAGTAAGTAGAACTCACGTCATGAACCCCGTATTGAATAAACGAGGGTGCTTTTAGTTCGTCGAATAGTTCCTTCTACTTACAGATCTATTCTCTCCCTGCGAAAAAATGTAATAAATACTCTGTCCTGAGACCCTTGAACTAATTGGAAAAGATTTGACCAAAAACTTTGAAAATAAAACTTCTTATATGTGCTATGAATTGGAATAATGAGTAGATCGTATACGGAGGTGCAGCGGTTAAGTATTGTCACCCCTGTACCCCTGTCACGTTTTTTTCAACTTACAATTACTTGAGCAAACTATACTCGAAAAACTTCGTTTCAAAACTAGTATTATTCTTAAATACTAATCTATTATCTTCTCTTTTTTGAGCCATTTTTATTTGGTTGCTGTTATATCACAAACCCTTGAAGTTAAGTGACAGGGGTACAGGGGTAACAATACTTAACCGCTGTACCTCCGTATTGTGTGTTACTTGCTAAATTACGGAATGATAACTTAGATAAGTGTAGCTTTAATCAGAGAAGGGGAACATGTGTAGTAATAGAAGAAGTGATATCCAAATCATCTCGGAAGTGAAACAAGAATTAGTGCGTTGGTCGAAGTTTAATAAAATTTAGATGTACAGTACAGTACATAATGCCGTTACAAACAGTGAATTTTCGCTTAGATATTTGATCGTTGGATGAAGACATACATAAAACATCAGCTACGCACATATTAAGAAGGTCAAACAGTCTATGACATGCTACCTTAAGTAATTTTATCCCCGAGAGATAGGGGGAGGGAGGGTGGGTTGCAGAGTCGCAATGCAGACTGACTAGTTGGAACAAAACGCCCAGGAGCAAAGTAGAGAATGGTCTAGTAGAAGGACTAGAATGTTTGACTTCCCATTGTATCAGNGTTGCAGAGTCGCAATGCAGACTGACTAGTTGGAACAAAACGCCCAGGAGCAAAGTAGAGAATGGTCTAGTAGAAGGACTAGAATGTTTGACTTCCCATTGTATCAGTATCAGGAAGTGATTGAAAATCCATCGGAACTATACCGACTGAAGTGCTTCTACATTACGGCACAAACGGTAATGCCTACTTTCCCAAGGGCAAAATACTATTTCTCTTGGAGGATTGCACAGGCATTCATTTTATTTTCACCATATAAATACTGGAAACACATAGCACCTGAAAACGCGGCACGTGAGTTGCATTTCTTGTCAAGAAGTCATTGAACAGGTGGCATTTGAGTTGCCGATATCTTTAGTCCTAGATATTTCGTCATGATCTTTTCAAGTATATTCATTCAACCTCGTCTTGCCTAGAACACAAAATGTGGAGATCAGAAAGACAATATACAGCCTAGGCAATAACGAGAGAAGACTAGCGGATTTGAAAGGATCGACAAGATCAGAGGTGCTTGGAAAGTCACGAAAGTACGGCAAGAAAAATACAAGGCCAAGTATGGTTGAAGGGATGAGAAGAATAGAAGCAGATGGTTGATCTTAACAGTGCTCGCTTAGGTATAATAAGCGACCTGTAATCTTTTTTTCACCAAATTAAGCGATCTGCCTACCAGTAAGTGAGAATTTAAAGAGTAAGGGATAATGTGAAGCGGAATGTGGCTGTCTCTAGAGTGTGAGGTTAAACACCACCCCATTTCCTCTCCTAAATAACCTCGTACCCGGAAAAAGAAAAGACTCGCTCCAGAAAATTACTGAATTTAGATAACTTGTGTGGTGAAAGCAGGGTGCAAACCGCGACAGAAGCAAACACCTTACACTCTGGTGTCAAGAATACCACATTCGCGTACCAACTTGCTTATGTACAATGCTCACATGCTCGTATGTGTCGATACAATACTTTTTGGTTGGCTCCCGGGCTGTTGGTAATGAGTTTCATGGCACGTGTTGTAAACGCTTGGCATGACAAATTCTCGTCCCCCTTTTGGCATTCGCCTAATTGGCTAATTAGCCGAACGCTGCCAAGAAAGTTCAACCTGTTGACTAAAAGAAGGTTGTTACAAGGTTCCACGTGTATAGGACAATACAATATAGGGTCTAGGACATAGAGGTATCTGAGGTGTATGTATGAAGATCTAAGGAAAAATAATCCGGAATCACGTGTAGGGTATACGGCATTTACTCTGAGTTACGGCGAAGAAAATATCAATGGCTCCAAGGTGCTATGTTGTTTGCGGACTTATACAAAAGCAATATCTAATCAGTTCAAAAATTGTTGGAAGAGGCTACAAGGCAAGAAGACGTAACAACACCAAAGCCACGGCAATAAGATCTATTGATCGTGATGTGTGGTCTACCTACCTACTACAGTCCCTAACTAACACGTGATTATCCACGCGAATATATCGCGGTAGTTATTATTATGAGGCTCTCAAAGAACACACATACCCGCCTATTAGGATGGGTCTTCAAGATTATTTTACTCTTGATCTTTCACTCTGATAGACTTTTCAAAGCTTAAGTTTCAGTTGTTTTATAATGGTGTCTCATGTTGAAGTTCATGGCATTTCTAAGATATCAAAAGAGGTATTTGAGGTTCTATACCTTCTCCATTCAGAAAGTATATGTTTCGGTGCGTGGATTGTTTGGCTTTGGGTATAGCTTTCATTCACTGGGAAGAGTATAGCTCTTCACCCTGCTCAAGTGATTCACTTATCCGATAGAGTTTTGTTGCACATCGCAATCCTGCTCAGTAAAAGCGTTACTCACTACTTGCAGTTATCAATGCTCTGTATCGACGTCTACTCTTTCACTTCATTACTGTTCTATCCTAAAACCTCCACTTTTGCTAAGGAACAAAGAACGCCGAACCCTATATTGAAGATACTTGATTAATTTATATCCGCACCTAATTAAATTGTTTCTTATTCTCTTTATACATCTAAAGCCAAGGAAACTCTTTAAATCCTATCTTTTTTTTTTTCACAAGTTTTACACCATCTTCCTCGGAGAAAGCCCCTTTCGCTACAACTCCCTAACCTCTTGCACACATTCTAGGCCTCTCCCCAAAATCCGAAGTTCTGGTGCAGGTTTCAATAGACCATTATCAAATGAGTCAGCAGAAAGTCTTCAAGATCGCCTTGCCAACATCATTTTAACTTGCCACCAATACATTATCATTCATAAAGTTCCAACCGAAACTCTTGAATTTAGCTCTCAAAGTCTGACCAAACATTCTAAACCACACAAGAAGCATTTTGAAAAGTTAAATCTAAGTTTCCTGCCGGGGGTTCTCATATCAATTGTTGCGCGTGCAATATACTTACTTCCTTTGACGGTGCTGAAGATATCTACGCAGTTGGAGAAAGAGCCGATGCCGTGGACAATAGGGGTATGTATTACAGACGTCAGTTAATACGAGAGAGAATTCATGATCTTGGAGTATATAATCGTGCGAAGAGCAACGTGTTCCTGAAATAAGTCTTCGGGGAATTTGATGACGGGTTTGTCTAATGCTGCGGCATGGCCTACGACTAGGTCTCCAATTTTGAATCTTGTAACTGCTTCTTCTACTTCGACAACGTCTCCTGCTACGTTGGAACCTAGAATTAAAGGTGGATTGACTCAGCCAATGACGAGGTTTGTTGTATTTTGTAGAAACGGTCTCATATGGATAGTGGGTTAATTGCTACGACTCCGTTCTTTATGACTGTGTCATTTGGTCCAGGTTGGGTGTATGGTAGCTCCTGGAGTTTGATTGACTTTTCTCTAGCGACAAGGTAGTTGGCGTTATTGGTAGGAGCCATTGTATATAAAGGGTACACAAGCTATGATAGTTTCAGTGATGGACTTTCAACAAACGCCTTTTCAACTGCACGATGGTGGTTTGATATGATAGATTCAGGACTGCATTCAAGATGTATTTACAAAGAAGTCCATCGCCGATGCTTCACAGCTGCTCATCGCGTATACGGACCTGGATATTTCATTTGTTGACTATGTAAGCACTAAGCACATGAGAGAGAGAAAACTTCAAGTCTTCCCAGGATTTCTGCTCACTACATCCATTTTTTTACCCCCCAGAAGGTCTGCGATTCCCAGGGAAGTGCTGAGAGCGGTACCTGCAATTAAGTGTTTCCACGACATGGTCATTTCTAGCATGTACTCTTTTGTATATTTCTTGAATATGACAAACATTATTCATGAGTCGGTAGAGAAGTCTTCGAAATATTTCTTTGGTGGGGAATAAATGGAGCATTTGTCATTCAACAAGAAGAAGCGAGATGTATAGTGGACTCTTCTTGGGGCAAATGAACGGACTTTTTTCTGAAGGCATGTTTTTGGGATTTCATAATGACTTTCAAACGAGATCAAAATCTGACTGTGTTCAGCCATGCGAGGAGTTTACTCGTCGAAACCCTCCAAATTGTTGCCCGACTGCCGAGGAAATGTCGATAGAAATCAGCTTCTACCCTATCGGTTTTGCTGCATGGGGAATGTATTCTATCATAGCTGAAGAATTCGGTAATAGAGGTTTGATCAAGCTCATTGTCCAAAGTGTTGCCCTTCAAGACACAAATGGGTCTTCAAGGCGGTTAAAGGATCGGGGAGACACTGAACACTTCTTTTGGAGAATATAACCACTCTTCAAGTCAAGAATTTTATAAATGTTTTGGGGCTCCAGATACAGTTTTGTTAGACTACCGAAAACGGCCCTTTTGGGGTATGTTCGGGATGCGGCTCCGATAAATCACCCGATTGCAAGGGTCAAAATTTTCTCCCCACTCAAGTTCTCAAGTTCTCGACCATCGCAAACCCGCAGCCCGCCAAAAGTCCTCCAACCCACGCCAATTGCACCTCCATTCAAGCAAATACGTCCCACGTACAGCAATCATGAAGTCACAAGAAGCCGCTTTCCGCGATATGCGCAAGCCTGCGAAAAAGCCAAAAGTAGCAGTCGTGAACACCCCAGCTACCCCCAAAGGAATCGCAAAGAACAAATCGAGGAATGAACGGCGCAAGGCTGCTAGAAGAACAGCGGCATTGATGAGAGAGCAAGGACTTCCCGTTGCGAAGAAGGGAGCAAAGACTGAAGCGGTTGCGAAGGAGGGAGATGATGCAGATATGGAGGTGGAGGAAGTGAAGGAGAAGGAGCCTGAATGAAGCAATTGAAGGACATCGAAACTATCATAAGATACGCCAAAGAACCGAGGCCGAGGAGTTCGAAACTACGGCGTGTTCTGAGGATTGGATCAATGGAGGATTGATGACCTGGGTAGCGCCTAACACCAGGGAATTGGGAGCAACATAAGCGAAGATCAATGAAAGTCAAAGTAATCAATACTCACGCTACCTAAAGCAAAACTACACTATTCTTTGGAACGAAAAAATACCTCCACTTCCCGAAAGCCTTTGTCCTTCACTCGCCGTTCTCCCACTTTAGGAAATACCCAAGTTGTCGTTAAACAGTTACTTTATTTTCCTTTGCCACCGAGGCCTCCCAACCCACCTGCGAGACCTCCAAGTCCGCCGGCAGCGCCAGTCAACCCTCCAGCAGTGTTTGTGAGGCCACCAAGTCCACCGGCAGCGCCAGTGAGGCCTCCATTAGCGCCAGTCAAACCTCCAGCAGCGCCAGTCAAACCTCCAGCAGCGCCAGTCAACCCTCCAGCAGCGCCAGTCAAACCTCCAGCAGCGCCAGTCAAACCTCCAGCAGCGCCAGTCAAACCTCCAGCGGTGTTTGTAAGACCTCCTAGGCCTCCAGCTGCGCCGGTGAGACCCCCCGCAGCACCAGTTAAACCTCCAAGTCCCCCAGCACCACCGCCGCCTAAAATGTTAAGAACACTGCCTCCGAGACCGAGCACAACACCTATGGCACCGCCAATCAGCTCACCCGCAGCTGGTAAGACCTGTGTTTGCCTATATTCTGATTAGCAAAAGACCCGTCAAACTTTTCCCGCAACTCTTCTTACAAAGCACTAATCAAAACTTCAACTCTGGCTCTGACGGTAGCTGGATTTGGATTGGCGATGATTGCCACGATCCCACCCAAAACTGCTTGGAGAACATCCTGTGCTGGAACCGCTGGCAAGGCTCGTTTTCCGATGTGAGCACTCGCTCCAATTCCAGCCCTAGCAGTGATACCCCCAAGAGTGACTTGTGCAGCAAGGCCTGCTTCGATAGCTGCCTTTGCTTGGTTTGCCAGGCGTAGGATGTCAACGACAGTGGTGGCTACCAAAAGTTGATTCAGAAGGTCCCTGACTGTTTGTAGAGTAGCGGCGAAACTTCCAATTGCGTCCGTCATTGGTTGAATTGGGGCATCGGCGACTAGATCCGTGTCAGAAGTATGGTAAGAAGTAATGGGATAGTTGGGTCACTTACCCGCTGTGTTGGGGCTTGCAACTCGCCCTTGGCGTACCGGCGCGGGTGCTGGTGCGGGTGCGGATCTACCGAGAGGGAGAGTAGCCGGGAGAGCTAAGGGGAGGCCAGTTGGGAGACCCGTTGGAAGAGCTATGGGGAGGCCAGTTGGAAGCGACAATGGAAGGCCTGTTGGGAGAGCTGGGTCTATTATATATCAGCCACGTTCTTTGATAGCCGAGACGCCCTTGAAAAGAATTGAAATGATAGAGTTATCTCGGAAACTCACCCAATGGTCTTCCGATACGTGCGAGGTCCGTTGGAATTGAGATTTCGGTTGAAAATCCTGCAAAGAGAGATTAGCGATACTTTCATCCCTAAGGACATGAATGTCATGTGGCTCTGGTGGAATTTTCGTGCAAATCGACTACTTACCTACTGTCGTTCCTGCAGGAAGAATTCGGTCTATAACAGGAACACCTTTGATGCTTCCTCCAGCATTCGCAGCAGCGCCCGCGCCAGCAATTGGAGGTAGAAGTGGGATAGCCAAGCCGTAAGAGGCCAAAGAAACAATGAAGAGTGTGGAGTACATCTTGAAAGGTACTGTGGGCGAATCGGAAATGTGGAAAATGGGTGAGAGATGGAGAAGTAATATTCTTCGAATCTCTTGTGCCTGACCTGATTCTTTACTCTCGTCGACATCTCGAGATTATATGCTCTTACTTGATACGACTTGATTTTTCCAACTACGCTGCAGAATCTTGTGGAATGGGGAATGATGCAAGTGCTTGTTATGATCGCGTTTTGAAACGGTTGGGTAAATTGGAGGGGAGTGCTTTTTGGAAGGGTTTGGAAGTTTTTGGGGTTCGTGTTCGGTCCTTTACGCATTCTCATTTTTTATACCACGTGGGAAGTTGGTGATCTTGAGCTCCTTCTGTTTTTCGAGATGTGCACTGGCTCAGGTGGTTGCCCGGAGTGGTGGTGTCTTGGAGGTGAGAGGGGGGCTAGGAATGTGATTGTTGTTGCCTTGACACTACGGACTAAACCCTAAGTCATGAAAAGCATTCGGTAGTTTTCTACCAAGTCTCAGCTTCGTGAATATTCCCTGGTAAACCAGTGTCAACTGGTGGTGGGGGTTTCCATGACATTGATCAACATTGACAAATATGTTCCTGACCCAGAAGAAAAAACTGGTTTACCACAGTATTGGGTAGTTTCCATTCCATGCCTCATCTTTTAGCTACGCTGCTGCACATCGATACAATATCCGGGGGTCTCCGATATATAGTATCGGAAATATGTAAATAATACAATATCAGATTCTTCGCTACCTAGTGATAGATATGTTGTCGATAATAAGGGCACAGATATAGAGAACTGTGAATGCAACAGCCCACCCTCTCTTCCCCTCTTAGTCACCTGTATTAGTGGTAAGCAACTCAGGTAAATACTTATACTAGTAGGCGGAGCGACTATTCTTAGTATTGTTTAACGTGTTTCTAAATTTACCTCTAAACCCTCTTAAATTTAGCCTAGTTTACTAGAAAAACAGACTAGTTTCAGGTACCTTAGAGGGGAAAGCCGAGTTTTTTAGATAGGTAGTTATAGAATAGTTCCTAAAATTAAAACTATTATAAAACTATTTCTAGATAATTTAAAATTATAAAACTATTTTAATTTATAACTAACTTAAATTATTTATCATAAAAACTATTTCAGATTTTAAACTAATATGTAACGAATACTCAAACTGGCTAACTAAACTTGGCTGGGTGTTCGCTGGTTGGTATGCTATGATAAGAAGAAGACTATCGGGTTGTTCACTTGGAAGTGAACTCGTTACTTGTATCAAAGATGTCAAACTAATATGATAAGATTGATAATTAAGCTGAGCACGAAGCTCCTATCTAATGGCAGACGTGCCAGTCTTATATAGAACCTTCGTCCCCGTGGATCTGGGGATCCCCCAGATCCTTTGCCTGGATCTTGGGATCCTCAAGATCCCAAGATCCATCACATGACTACATACAAATGAAATCCTTGGATCGCTTAGCTAGTCTAGCCGATCCCTATTCGCTATAAGAGCATGATAGTGCTTAACCTGTCAGGACGCCGCCTGGTCTTCACTCTTCACATGCTAACACGTGATTCGTGACATAATATAAGATTATTTAAAAGATAAATAGTCTAAAATTTATAACTATTTAGATATAGAATAGTCTCAAGACTATTTATAACTATCTTTTATATTAATAGTCTAATTTCTAAATAGTCGCTAGATAGTCGTAGGACGGTTCTCGGACGGTTCTCGGACGGTTCTCGGACGGTTCCGGGACGGTGCGGAAAAGTGCCCTACAGAGCCGCATACAGGCGCGCAGGGCGGCGGCGCACGGGCCACATTATGCACTCGGTAGTACTCCCATGCGCTCAACCCCTACGCTATAAAGATATAAGTGTTAAATTCAGTCGATTCAACGGGGCTTGGTCCGACTTGCTCCGCACCAGTTAAGGAGTAGTATCGTAAAGTACAAAGACTCAAAGTGGGTATCGCGAACCCAAAAACCTAAGATGTACCTATGCGACATTCAGGAGATCCTTTACTTACTATTTATGGTAAACTACTCGAGTACTACTCGAGTTGTTGAGTAGTTTCTTACAACCCACAAAATCGTGATAATCCGATGAATATCATATCGGCGCCCAAGTCTGGTTACTTTAATTATAGTTCTTTACTGGTGACTTAAGTTACTGTTGTTATTGAAGGGAAGACGAATATGAACCGAGTGTTATTGTGAGGGTTGAAACCCATGATGGAGGATCGGGCCATGCCCTCGCTAAGCACTGACCAAAGTCCCCGCTCAGCACTGGCCATTCCCCCACTGCCAAGCAAGTCTCTGCTGTTCCATACTTATCTGTTCTATTCTTTTGACATCATGTATTCGTTAGGCAGCTTCCTGGAATATTCCAGAGACTCTTCCTCTCTCTATATATAGAGGAAGAGCTCACATGTATGTAGTCTTCACGCACTTCTTAATTGAATATTCGAAACCTCACCTTTGAGTTGTTCAAGGTCTGGCCTCTCACAACAGCAGCAGAAGAATACAATGCTAAATTCCTGCTTGACAGAATCGGAGCTATCCAAAAGGTACTCAAATTCAAAGAAGCAAGAGTCGACGCTATCAAATACCAAGTAGTAATCCACGGCATCCCAATTAAAGAATTCAACTCTCTCGCTGGCCTAGCACAACTCAAAGATGAGATCCTCACTTTTAATAAGAGCCTCAACCTAGAAATCGACGACATCCCTCACTGGCTTACCTCAAAAGATAAACGAGATAGCGGCCTACAACACCAAGGATCAATCGTTGTAGCTTTCAAGGAAGAAAGCCAAGCAAACAGAGCACAAAGAAACAGACTTAACCTTGCAGGAATCAGCGCTAGAGTTGAGCACCTCCGGAACACGTCGAGGAAAATGCAGTGTACTAGATGCCAGGAAGACGGGCACCCTCTTAAATACTGTGAAAACCCTCCAAAGTGTAAATTCTGCTCCCAACAACACCAAAGCTCGCAACACAAATGTCGTCAGTGCGAAGCTCAAGGCGGAGCCTGCGTACACACTACCACCGATGCTATCACAGAATCCTAATGATAGAAAGCCCGATCAAAATCATCTCTTTTAATGCCAACACTACATCAGAAGCCATGGAAAACGCGCTAGAAATAGCTGTCCAAGTCAAAGCAGACATTGTACTCTTCCAAGAACCATGGTTTCACAACGTACGAAACAGACAAAATTACATAGCTGTCACCTCAACAGCACATGGCAGTTTTACGCAAATTCTCCCAAACCACTTGTCCAGCAAAAGGCCTCGAACAATTACCTATATCGCAAAAACCTTCAAACCCTCAGTCAGCCTCTCAAGAGAGTCACCCAGCGACACCAATATCCAGTTTATCGACATTACTGAAGGAGAAGAATCAATACAAGTAGTCAACATCTACAACCAGAAAGACCAGGGAGAGCACAAGAAAAGAACGTTCCAAAGACATCTACAAAACTACAATATTAGAAATAATACAATAGTCATGGGAGACTTTAACTCACACCATCCATGGTGGAACCCTGCCATTGATACCCCTAACCAAGAGGCCGAAGAGCTAGCAGAGTGGATAGAAGACAATAGCCTCAGCCTCCTTAACAAGCCAGGCGAAATAACCTTTTTCAGACAAAACTCTACCACTCCCTCTGTGCTCGACCTTGCACTAGTATCACAAGAAGTAAGTGACCATGTCCAAAGCTTTGGAATCAATAACGCCATCGCCTCAGACCACTGGGGCCTGTAAATTCATCTCTACGGAAAGAATAGAGACTGGGTCAACAACACGCTACACCAGGCACAATACAACACAAAAATAGCGGACTGGAAGCTCTTCAGGGAAACCGTCAACATAAGCATCCTCAACTCCCCTCATCTCAGAACTCTCACAACCATGGAAAATCCAGCTACGGTAGACAAC